CCTCACGTACCTGCATTAACTCTTCACGACTCTCACGTCAATCTGATGACTAACACAATTTGGAGAGCAATTTTAGGATGAGGCTAAACTTCTGACTTGAGTAAATTTGTGCTTGTCAGATGGCTATTGGTTGATTGCCTCCCAAGATGGCATGGGAGTGTCATCATTCGACTCCATGATGGTCAACTCAATGATCATCCTTATAGGGATGACAACAATTGAAGGGGGGAGAAGTTGGTGAGTGTAACAGCACTGTCAGTCCCATCACCTCCATTAGCATCTCAAAGGATTTGGCAAAACAAAAGCTTGTAACCTCTTCATAAGTGATTATTAACGATTTATTAAATTGTTTTGTCGAGGTGAATGAGGTGGACGAAAGGTAGTCGAAAGAGTGAATACCAAAATGACGAATGAATTACGTCTTACATAACACAGGATTAAGAGAGTAAGTGAATAAACCCAAACAATGGTGTGTTCATTTGGCTCCTCACATTAACACAAACATCGTAGGTGGGCAAGAAAGGAATGAAAGAATTTGGCACAACACATAGCCTAACGGCAAAACTACTTCACTACTTGTGATGATATTGGCTGTGTGCTGTCATATGTCTCCAAAGATGCCAGCAAATGTTTTTCTTAGGTTTTTCATTGTATCATCAGCATCGTCTGCATTCCCAATCGACTGTTGAGAGGTCTGTCTGGAGCGTGTGGCCATTGAAGTGGTGGTGGTGGTGGTTGTGGTGCCAGAGGAGGAGGAGGAGGAGGAGGCTGAAGAGGTAGTAAGTAGAGAGGGAAGTTGTGAGGTTTGATTCACCGATACCGATGATGATGACGGTGGTGGTGGTGGTGGTACACTCCATGGGTCATTGTGCTGCGATCCCAATGCTGACCGTCCAAAATCCAACGGTGATCTATAATACAACAGTCGAATGATCGAATGGGCGTTTCTCCTAGCAGGACAATACAACAAACACTCACGTATCAAATTTCATTGATGTGGGTGTATCTCTCTCCTGTGATTGACTTTGAAAGGTACTTATGGAGGATTTACTTTGTACCTGAGGCTGGAAGATGTTCATTGAGGGATCGAAGATGGTGGTGCTGGTAGCCGAATTGCTTGATGCTGTACCACTGCCACAGGAGTCAAAGGTGCGTGTTTCAAAACTGTTAATTAGGGAGGACTGTCGTGGTGGTTGAGGAGCCGCTTCTTTCTGTCCACGTCCTCGCATTGACTCCAAACTTTCTACTGATGGCTCTCTAATTGGACGTCCACTGTTACCACTACTCCATGATTCCGATGGTCTCGACTCAGATGGAGGTATTGACACAGCAGCATGAGTGGAAGAGGAGGACATCCTCATACTCTCATCACCCTCTCTAGAGTAGCTTGTTCGTTTAGATGGTGGGCGACTGGAGAAGTCCATGGAAGTGGTACGCATAGAAGTTTTGGGTTTATCAAATGCCTCTTGAGTGGAAAATTCGTTTCGTGATGACTGTGATTGGTGTATTGACGGTTCAAATTGAGATTGCGTTTTCGTCTGTGACTGGAGTGAGCCTCGACTTTGACCAAAGTCCATAGCTCCTCCCGATATGTTTGAACGTCCACTCAGAGGCTCCCTATAGCCCTGTGAAGATGAAGGTCCACTGAGAGGAGGAGGCTGAGGAGGAGGAGGCTGCGTTTTTGGTAGTCTTTGTTGCTCTTGATTGGACACCGATGATAGTGGAGGTTGTTGTTGTTGTCGAATCTGACCAAATGTCGGTTGCATTGACTGCTCCCTGGTGGGAGTTGTTGTACCCACCACGGATTGCATACTCGGCGCCACTTGTCCTATTGCACTTGGAGTTGATGCTTGTATCAGTTTTGTAGACGTTTGGGACACTTTCGGTTGTGACATCGGCCTTAAAACAACACCATTAACACGTAATTAGTTATAAATGTGATTGCTAGAGAAATTTAATGGGACCAAAAAATTGGAGGTGATTGCAAAACTTTGTCCACAGTCCAATTGACCTACCCTGTTGCAGATTTGGCTGCATATTCCATCCGTTGTAGGAGTAGTTCAGCTATTCTCATTCGATCCTCTTCTTGGCCATCACCCAGCAGAATGAAATCGGAACCGTAGACCTTACGAACGACAACTTGAGTACAGTCTACAGTTTTTTTTCCAGAGTCAAGTATTTTTGTAGGAGTCTGACCAGTGCACCACTACAGGGACACTAGTCTGTTACAAAAACAATTCTACTTAGTAAAATTACAATTTAAAAGTTTGCAGTCATAACATCGCCTCAAATGGGCACAACAAAAGGTATTCAAATTTAGATACAACTTGGTGGTGGGCGATTCGAGACATCAAAGGGAAAAGCGGGTGTTAACAAAGCAACCCATAGTAAGCTTCATAAATTTAAAAAAA